TTTTGTCAGTCTGGCTCAAAATTGACCCATCCCTAAAGACTTAGAACAATAATGAAAGGATCCACATAGGGACTCAACAGTGAACATTTCACAATGTAGCTAGGCTAGTTATCTTTCCAACAATTTCACATTTTAATAAACTTACTTTTTTTTTCAAGTTCTTCAGACCTGCACAGAACTATAAAGAAATTGATATTACTCATTATATAGCCAGTTAAGATGTGGCAGACAATACCACATCCCCATAACAGGTGGGGTTCATGTGCCCTCTAACTGTATCCAGGTAGTCCTATGACACATAGGACAACCTAAGTTGGAAGTAATGACATGAACTCTAAAGTGAGTCTGTCAAAAGTAATTCAGCTTACCTACAGCTCTAGCTACTCAAGAGGTAGAGGTAGGAGGACCATAAACTCAGGCCAGTCCAGGCAAAAGGAAGAGACTAAAATCAAGCTAAAGCAAAAAGGGCTGGGAGTCTGGTTCAAGTAGCAGAATGTTTTGGGCAGGGCTGAGTTCAAACCCCAGTACTGCCAAAAACAAACACCACCACCACAAACAAACATGGAAAAACAGATTTCCTAGCTGTCACGTGGGAACCTTGGGAACTCAGAGCCAATATGTAAGAAATCTGGCTTGTCTGAAGTTACCTTATTGGAGAAATCATACAGATGGGTTAGAGGGAAGAGAGGAAAAGGGAGAAGGAAAAGAGAGAAAGGAAAGAAAGGAGCCAGCAGAGTCAATTCCCATTCATATACACAGAGTAAGAAAGAAGAACAGATAAGAATGAGAGAAAAGAAGAGTGGCAGGGACAGGTATGCCTCACGAATCTTCTTAGCTCAGGCATTAGATTCACCAGTGAGCCTTCAGATTTTCAAAGTCTTGCACAGTAGCCACTAGTCACGTGTAATTGTTGAAATTTTAAAAAAGTAAAATTGAACACATTTTAAAATCCATATTTCAATCACATTTCAAGTGCTCAGTGCTAACTTGTAGCTAGTTTCTACTGAATTGGACAGGGCATGAAGATCTTTTCCATCATCACAGAAAGTTTTAACAGAGTATTACTTCAGATAACTCCAGTCCTAGCCTCCAACCCACCCTAACTAATTCTGTATGGTATATACATGATCAATCCCACTGAGGCCTGCTCAAATGGCAAATTTGTGAGCAAAATAAATGTTTTTAGTCACTGATGTGGGGGTGGATGGCAGGTTGTAAGAAGAGCACAAGGAAACTAAAGTTGAGAATATAAAGTAATTTGCTAGAGCTCTGGAGTCCACAACACCAGCTAAATAGTGCAACTTATCACATTTCACTTCAACATCGAATAGTTTTTGTGAATAAATGAACAAGAAAAGCCTCAAAATTCAAGCTCTTAATAAAATCGAAAGAGTTTGATACTTTCTGCCCCTAGTATGAAGCACCAATGGGAACTCAAAGTGTCAACCTCCATGAATCAGTGACAAAAAATTTCTAGATTTTTACATTAGGTAAAATTTCATATGGCTTCCATCCAGTTTTTACACTGAAAATTCTTTACATATTTTGTGAGTCTTAAATATTTTCAAACTACAAAGGTTTTTTTTTCTTTTACTCTTTCCTCTTCTTTTTTTCTCTCTACCAAAAAAAAATTGGACAGAAGTTACTATTAACCTTAAAGGCTTCTCTGAAATCTTCCTTATAAAGAATTTTAAATAAAGTACCATTTTTAATGATTGGAAATAATGGAAGAACTTGAGTCAAGAAAATGGCTTCAGGCTTAATTGAATTTCCACCTAAACATAAATACCTTTCTTTCTTCCTTCCTTCCTTCCTTCCTCTCCTCCTTCCTTCCTTCCTTTCTCTCTCTCTCTCTTTCCTTCCTTCCTTCCTTCCTCCCTCCCTCCCTCCTTCCTTCCTTCCTTCCCTTCCTCTCTTTCTTTTCTTTCTTTTTTGCTGGTCCTCAGGCTTGAACTCAGGACCTGAGCACTGTCCCTGCTCTACCACTTGAGCAACAGTGCCACTTCTGGCTCTTTTGAGTAGTTTATTAGAGATAAGAGTCTCATGAGGACTTTTCTGCCTGGGCTGGCATTGAACCATGGTTCTCAGATCTCAGCCTCTTAAGTAGCTAGGATTATAGATGTGCGCCACTGGAGGCTGGTTGAGATTGTTTTTTCTTTCTTGGCAGTACTGGGGTTTGAGTTTAAGATCTTGTGCTTCCTAGGCAGGAAGTTCTTACAGTGTTGCTTATTTTTGAGATATGGTATTGTTCCCTGATGAGGCACGTGCCTTGGCTGTGATCTACCTATTTTAGGCTTCCTGTTCACAGTTAAGGTAACAAGTGCGTGCTATCAAGTTCAGCCCTTAGTTGAGAAGGGGTCTTGGAATCCCTGGAATCATAATTCCTTGTTTTCCACTCAGCATCTTGCTAAGACTTTATATTTACTTACTTATTTATTGGTGCTAATGGGGTTTCAAACTCAGGGCCTGGAGCTTAGTATGCAGGTATTCTTCCACTTGAGCCATGCCTCAAGACCTTTTGCCTTTTAGTTTTTAAATAGGAGATCATGTTTATATCTGAGTTTATATCTGCAGTCTTCCCGTTTATATTCCATGTAGCTGGGATGACAGGTATATACCATAAGAACCAGTTGAGATAAGGGCTATCATGAACTTTTTGCTAGCTGATCTTAAATCATAATTTTCCCAATCTCTGCCTTCCATATAACTAAGGTTTCCCAATCTCTCACTTGCAAATAGCCAGGATTACAGGTGTGAGCCACTGTGCTGAATGCATTTTACGTTTCATGATGAATAATGAAGCGACACTGAACAACAAGCAACACTGAACTGGGAAGTAGCAGAGTTCCCATGAAACCCCAGCATAAGACTGGACTTCATGACAATATATGCTGAAGCCTGTATAAGCCTCAGTAGACATGCTATTAAAATTTCCATGTGTAGAATGAGATGACTGAATAATTACTTCTAAACTAAAAAGATTACAATATTGGTCTAATAGTTATGTGTTAAAGAATTCTTATTTATTAGAGAAAAATATTAGACTAATGAATACAATAGAATCAAGGATTTCCCTGGAGTTAAAACAGAGCTGGATGGTCTATTAGCCTATAGATGAAATAAAGGCAGCCATGTATTGGCAATTATTCCAATTGCTAAAAGGTAGTTCATTATCTGTAGACAAAAATTAAAAACCAACCAACAAATTTCTCTAGATATTTTGAAATACAATAAATAAAGGTTATCTGAGGATGAAATGGGAGAAACTAGATTTTTTTTTGGGGGGGGGGGGTCAGTCATGGGGCTTGAACTCAGGGCCTGGGTGCTTGAACTCAGGGCCTGGGTGCTGTTCCTAAGATCTTTTACCCAAGGCTAACACTCTATCTCTGTGAGCCACAGCTCCACTTGCAATTCTCTGGTGGTTAACTGGAGATAAGAGTCTCACAGACTTTCCTACCTGGGCTTGGCTTTGAACCAAGGTCCTGAGATCTCAGCTACCAGTGCCCAAAGCAATTAGAATTTTAATTGATTTATTTACTTGCTGTGGCATCCCTAGGGACTGAACTAAAGGAGTCTGTTATTGTTTTCAGAAGAGTCTCTCACTTTTTTTTGTGTGTGAGGGCCAACCTTAAATAGTAGTTTTCTCTCTGCCTCCCTAGCTGGATTATAGACGTGTATGACCATACTGGCTTGTTTTTGAGATAGTCTTGTTAACTTTTGTTTGGCCTGACCTTTAATGGCAATCTTTCTGCCTCTACTTCAAGTAGCTGGAATTATAACTATGTATCACCATGTTCAGTCCCAGGATTTCAATTATTAATTAGAACCAAAATGCTAGAAATACACAAAATGTCTTTGATCTATAAAAATAATAAAAACTTTAGCAAATACATATAATTACTTTCAAGTGAGGATTGCAGTCAGTAAGCTGACTCATACTTTATACACAATGATAATATAGGTTCAACCTCTCTAAAATGAAAATGTGAAATCCAATGTGAAACCCAAATGTGAAATGCTCAAAAATCCAAAACTTTTTGAATCCTGACATAACAAGGAAAATTCCATATTTGACTTCATACAATGAGTTGCAACCAAAAAGCAGGTGTAGTAAAAATACTGTATAAAATCATCCTCAGAGCTAGGCGCTGGTGGCTCACACCTGTAATCCTAGCAACTCAGGAGGCTGAAACCTGAAGATCGTGGTTCAAAGCCATCTGAGAGGGCAGGAAAGTCGGTGAGACTCTTATCTCCAATAAAACCACCAGAAAACTGGAAGTGGGGCTGTGGCTCAAGTGGTAGAGTATTAGCCTTCAGCTGAAGAGCAGAGGGACAACGCCCAGGCCCAGAGTTCAAGCCCCACAACTGACCAAAAAAAAAAAAAACAATCACTCTCAGGCACAATGTACAACATAAACAATTATTCCACTTAGACTTGGACTCCATCCCTAAAATATCTCATATATATGTAAATATCATTTACCATTAGTTATGAAGAGCAATAATAAACATATTTATTAGAAAAATCTTTGGAGTCAAATACAGAACAAATTCTACAGCTACTCACTAGCAAGATAAATTTAGCTAAATTATCCTGTTATCCCTCCAGAAAAATAAGAGTGGTAGCTGTCAATAGGTCTGCCTCAATGATTGGAAAAGTATGAACATTACCTTATAATAGCATAGTGCTAAAGCAGGACACTATGCTCAGTATTGAAATAATTTCTTTTTTTTTATTGTGAAAATACCATATAGAGGGGTTACAGTTACATGGGCAAGATGAGTAAATTTCTTATCAAACATTGTTGCCTCCTCTTTTGTTTCCCTTTTAATAATTTCTTGAATCTAACTTAAATGCAAGAGAACTACAGGGGTAAAAAAAACAGATTTCACCATGCATTGGACTTTATACTATATTTTTACACATTTGTTTTCTGTATCTCTACACTATTATCTTCTCTACAATGTTTTAGTATTAGTAAAAGTTTTCTTACTCCTACCTGAATGAGACATTTGCTCACATCACTGGCGCAGAGGGCTTTGTTACAGCTCAGGGACACAGGAAGCCACAGCAGGAATGTCAGGAAGGCTAGAGGAAGCACCACATAGTATGACTTCATGATTCTTCAAAGAAGCTGACTGTATCTCCCTCCAGGAATCTAAACAAACAAATAAAAAAAGACACTTTTATTTGAAGGAAAGTGGTAGGGTAAAATTAATACAAAATAATTTACATATTATTCTAAATGAAAGATTAAAACATTCAAATATTAAGTTACCTGATGGATACGTTCAAAGATCTTGATTACTGATCCTACCAGAAGAGGGGACTGTAAAAAGAGTGAACATATACCACTCTATTCAACTTTAGTACCACTACTATACAACTTTAATTTTAGGTCTAGTATGCAGCGTTGAGCAATATAAAAACTATTAATATTGTATTATTTTAAAAGATTTAATATTTTAAATTCTTGTGGTGTGTGTGTGTGAGAGAGAGATGCTGGAGACTGAACCCTGAAATGCAACCCAGACCCAATCTATAAAATCTTAGAACCAAAACAAATTTGTGTAGGGAAATTACTTCTCATGGCTATCTCATTTTGTTTTAACTTTTGTTTTAACAGGCTGTTTAAAGAAAGAAGTAGACTCCTTAACTTCTTAAATAGTTGAACAAATAACAAAGGGAAAAGGAAGATTTTTTCCCCCGTTACTGTCAAAGATTCCCTCCCCCCCCCAAAAAAAACCCCAAAAACAAAAAAACTAAAGGTTTTAATGATTTAAAAGAAAAATAAAGGGCGCCAGTGACTAACGACTGCAAACCCAACTACTCAGGAGGCTGAGATGGAGGACTGAGGTTCAAGGCCATCCCGGGCGGGAAAGTCCCTGTGAGACTCTTAACTCCAATTAACCACCAGAAAACCAGAAGTGGTGCTGTAGCTCAAAGTGGTGCTGTAGCTCAAAGTGGTAGAGCACTGGCCTTGAGCTGAAGCAACAGTGCCCAGGCCCAGAGTTCAAGCCACACTACTGCAAAAAAAGAAAAGAAAAAGCAGTACAAATTCGGAGAAGAGTTAAACAAGCCAACATGATGATTAAACCTTGAAAAAAAGCGTATAACTTCTTGGGGTTAAAATATATTCTGAAAATTTAACCTATTAAAATGAATACTGATGTCGAGGGGTAAAAGGTCATGCCCTGATGATTATAGTTTTAAGTATTCCGAAGTATAATCAAGGGAAGAGTATATAATGTCTAGAATAAAGGGCTGTTTGGGGTATGACTCAATTTTAAAACACACAAAACATTCCCGAAAGACGGTTGGCAACCCCATTTTCTCATTCATTTAACCTCACATACCAAGGATGGTTTTGAAGGCAACCAGGAAATATTTGTGGGGACCAAAATAGGCATTTGAAAACAGATTTGTCCAGAAATAGTTTTACTCCAAGCCCTGAAATTGGGGGCCCCACCCCCATCACGTTGTCTTCTTTAGTGTTTAACATATTCGTCTTACTTTCAAACTTCCTGGGAAGAAAAAAAAAAATCAAGTAACCATACTGCAAGTAAAGGCAGGAACAGTTACTTAAAAGGGCTTTCTTCACAGCAGAGGGAAGAACGCAGCGAGTGTCAACACCCTTTCCCCCCTCTCAAGCTGGCGACCTGGGGTCCCAGAGCGGGGCGCAGGCAGTTAACAGACACAGCCTCTTTGTCTCGGCCGTCAGAGCCTGGGCCTTTGCCAGTCTGCAGCAGCGGACACTACGGGCCGCGTTAGGAGGCCAGTGGAGGCCGTACCGCAGGGCGGCGCCGTCCCCGCTTCGTCCTCTGCGAACTAGGGCCCAGGCTTCTGGCGACCCCGGAGGGCCCACTACAGCCTCTGTCTCAGAGGCCCGAGCGCGGGGGACGCTCCGACCCTCCCTGGCCGTGGAGGCCACCGCCCCACACGGGCCCGTTCCGCTCACCGTGGCCGCTGCACCGTGAGACTCCCAGTCCCCAGGTGGTCGGGCGAACCTGGGGCTTGCCGCAGCAGCAGTGCAAGCGAATCAGGCCGCACCTCCGCCGGGCCCTGGGCGCAGCACCCGCGAGACTCAGGCACCAAGAAGAGACAGGCCCGCCCGCCCGGGGGCTGCTCCCGCTCGTGCCTCACCTCTCCTCCCGCCTCCCTGCCCGGATTCGGATCCCCTCTGCTTCCGCCAGGGGACGCTGCAATCCCCTCGCAGCTTGGCCCCGCTTTCAGCCAGAGCACCGCCCACAACCGCTCTCGGTGGGGCTGGGCTGGCCACGGCCCCACGCGGTTCCACCTGGACTCTTCTGTGACTCACTGGGCCATATGCAGTTTTTTCCTGCATAATCTTCCCCGCCTTCTACCCAGTCGGAGTCGCATTCTTGGTCCCTAGCTCAGCTACCTATCTGAGTCCCCTCTGTTCAATGTTGAGGCTGACAAGCTCACTAAAATGTCTCCTACTTTAATATAGTAACTCTTCTAGGGAGTTTGGATTTTTGTGTGTATGCTGGTTCTTCAGCTTCAATTCAGGGTCTGGTGTTGTCCCTCAGCTTTTACTCTTGGTGCTTAATTGGATATGAGAGTCTCACAGACTTTTTTGGTGGGGCTGGCTTTCAACCACAATCCTCAGATTTCATCCTCACGGAGTAGCTGACAGGTGTGAGCCTCCAGCCCCCAGCAAGAGGGAGTTGTTTGGGGCCTACTCATGGGGTTAGTTGCGAGGCTGAGGCCTTTGGAGAGTCAAGTCCTTGACACTGCATCAAATGCTGTCAGAGATCAGAGGCAGGGTTTATTTAAATGAATGTTTCTTGGGCCCACAGGATCTCCACGACAAGAACTTTCCAGATTTTCCTCATTAAATTCCGGTGAGCTCTTTAGAAATGGCAGGAGAAATGGAGGAGAGGTACTTGGATCTTGGTGCAGAAGGTCTATATGACTTGGAAAGGGCCTGACCCCGAAACCAGGATGGGGAGGCCTGAATGCAGTTCATTTGGCACTCGTTTTCTCTCCCACCTTCCTCCCTTTTGGGCCAGTGCTGGGTGCTGTTCCTCAGCTTTTTTGCTCAAGGTAGTGCTCTACTGCTTGAGGCATACTTCTCCTGGCGTTTTGGTGTTCAACTGAAGTTGAGTCTCATGGACTTACCTACCTAGGCTGGCTTCAAGCCTCAGATCTCAGCCTCCTGAGTAGCTAGGATGAGAGGTGTGAGCCACTGGTGCCTGGCTCCCCTTTTATTTTAGCGAATTAAGTCTCATTACAACAATTTAGCATTTTTTTCTCTTCCATTCCTCTTTCTCATTTTCTCTTTTTATTTTTCTTCTTTCTTCATTTTTGTGGTGGCTATACTACCGAGGTTTGAACTCAGGCCTCATGCTGCTAGGCAAGCAGGCAGTTTACCACTTAAGCTACACCTGTAGGGTCTGTTGCTTCAGGCCTGGTTATTTCTCAGATAGGGTCTCAAGTTTTTGCTTAGGGATCCGTATCTCAAATAGCTGGGATTACAGGACCTGGCCACCATTACCACTAGCCTAAGGATCTGCATTTTAAACAAGGTGCCAGTGTGATTAAGTTGGAGCCCATAAGACTAGACATAGAACTAGAAGATCCACAGCACTCTTTCTTTTCAAAGCCCTTTCTCCCAGCAAACAATGACCTACAGTCAAACATTCTGGGTAGGAAGTCTTAAATATGTTTTACTTTCTCTGGATTTATTGAATGAAAATTTAATTGAAACAGCTGATTAACTAAAGGATAGATGATATCATTGATGTTCTTTCATTTTTGTACAATAAGTACATAAGGATTTGTAAAATCATCCCTGAAAGTAATCCTTGGAAAATAACTAAATTTGTGCACAAACTTAGGGATCTTATTCTTTGCATTACTCCAGGCTAATGACTCATTAGCCATTAGTGGCTAATGAGCCATTCAAAAACCGGTATTAGCCAGTAAGTAGCCAGTAATTCTAGACTTTGGAGGCAGGGGTCATGGTTCCAGGACACCTGGCCAAAAAAAGAGTTTGCTAGATTCTAATCTTAGCCAAAAGCTGGGCACCTGTTACGTTGTCTAGTGGGGAAGCATAATGGCTGGGAGCAGTGGTACTTACCTGTCATCCAGGAATTGACACCAGAAAGCACAAATAGGACTAAAGTCCAATATGACCTGGCAGTAAGTGAGACCCCCACCTTGAAAATAACCAGCACAAGAAATGACAGAAGATATAGTTCAAGTGGTAGAATGTCTAGCTAATTGGGAGGCCTTGAGCTCAGTTCTCAGTATCAACAAACTAACAAATCAAATTGGGAAACAGAGATCTTCAAACACACTCTTGAAAATTGTGGAGAAGCCCTAAGTGGTTATGTGTACGTCTTTTAAAACCTTTTGAAATTAAAACAGAAATTAAAATAATATTAAAATAATAATATTAATATTTTTATTATTAATATTAATAATATAATATTAAAAATAATAAACCTACTTATTAGTACACTAGTGCAGAAAACTAATATATTTGAAAAGCACAGGATGATTTTTTGTTACTATTTTTATATCTGCTTCTGCATTAAAAAGGTTATTATATATTATGTAGCCCTCCAGACACTTTAGTATATACTTGTGAGAGGATAAAAGTGAAAAAGGCAAATGATATTTTAATATTAAAATAATAATTTTGAGTTCATAAATCCAATGAGAGTGTGGCAATTTAAACAAGAAACATAGTTTCGAGACTATTTTTGACTTGCTTGGTTTCAAATATTAAAACTCCTTTAAATGCCCTCTGTAATGAGCTTCATTTATTTAACTTGTCAGGTAAGAGTGAGGCTCAAGGGCCTATAAGTTGCAAGATTGCTAGCCAGCTCTTGGGAATGAAGGACAAAGGTCTCACCTATTCTTTCAGAGAAGTTATCAAAGGCTATTGGCATATTTATATATGCCTAGGAAGCCTCTGATTCTTCACAAAATCCAATATTTACATACAGATGATTATAGCAGGCCTACCAAAGAGGTACAAACTTATTAGCTTAGTACTTTTTATTTTCACTTTAGTTTTCTCCCAAATTCCTGACTACAGAAGTAATATATGGCTGGGCACCAGTGGTTCACACCTGTAATCCTAGCTACTCAGGAGGCTGAGATCTGAGAATCATGGTTCAAAGCCACCCTGGGCAGGAAAGTCTATAAGACTCTTATCTCCAATTAATCACCAGAAAATTGGAAGTGGCACTGTAGCTCAAGTGGTAGAGCGCTAGCCTTGAGCTGAAGAGCTGAGGGTCAGCACCCAGACCCACAAACCAAAAAAAAAAAAAAAAGTAATATATACAAATTTTGGGAAAAATCCAGTTTATAGAACTTGATGATGAAAGCCTTTTTCCATTTCATCTCCTAGAAAGTATTTCTAGTAAGAGTTTTGTGTATATTCCTACTTTATTCCTGTGACTTAAAAGAAACTCATATACTTACGTATTTTTACGAAGATAGAAAACATAACATTTTGTATTTACATATACAGTATTTGCATAAAAACAAATTAGAAGGATTGCTTTTCCTAATAGTGATGTTTCAGAGAAATTTCTCTTAACCTTGGTTAAATTTCTTTAGACTTCGGTTAACCTTTAAGCCCGGACTGAGAGACTCCTGGGAGATTAGTAAGCATTTTGTGTGTCTGTGAGAATATTTCCAGAGACAATTAGATCATGAGGTCTCTAGCCTTGTCAATGTTTTCATCAATGGCTTCAAAATGTGATGATTATAATTAGGTGGTGGAACTGTAGAAAATGGTGTTTCTCCTCAATGATTTATTTCCTGGTTTAAGGAAGTAAGCATTGGGAGCATGTCTTTGAAGGGTACATCAAGGCCCTGGCTTCTTTTAGTCCTTTTAGTCCATGCTAAGGTGAAGTTTCCTCTGCCACACTCTTCTGTCTTGCACAGCCTGAAAAAAATGGACTGAAATCTCTGTAACTGTGAGCCAAAACCTATCTTTTCCTTTTTAATTTTGTAGCAGCGATAGAAAGTCTATCACATGTGGGTATGTATGAAAAAATAAATGAAAATACTTGCTGGGATATTGACTGCAATTTTGAATAGAAAACCATATTAACTGGAATTGTACAGAAAACTTGGAGAAATGTGAAATTAATTTTTTTTCTCCCTTTTGCAGCATTGGGGATTAAATTCAGAGCCTTGCATCTGTAAGTGCTCTACTGATGAGCTATACTCAAAAAATTGATTAGTTTCAACTTTAAATATAAAAGTCTACTGTGTTTCTATCAATAGAAAAAAATAGCTTTTTGTATATTGATATATTGTACCCTGTGACTGAAAAAACCTAGTTTTGTTGCTTTTGGTGTTAGTTTCATTAGTTTCTTAGGATTTTCTATGTAAAGCTCGTGTCTTTTTTTGGTGTGTATGCTAGTACTATGATTGAACCCAGGGCTTTACATGCTCATTTGGTTTGCTTGCTCACATTGGCACTCTTTATATGCGAGTCATACCTTCAGTCTGGCATTTTGCTAGTTAATTGGAGATGGAGTCTTGAGGACTTTTCTGCTTGGGCTGGCTTTGAAATATAATCCTTAATCTCATGTTACTGAGTACCTAGGATTAAAGCATACCAGAACCCAGCTAGGTCATTGCCCCCCACTCCGACTCTCTCAAGAGAATAGGTGTCCCTCCTATTTATAAAAACATTTTATAGCATATATTAGTTGTATAGGAGGTTTCATTGTGGTATTTCCTGATTGAATTCACTTCTACTACTCTTCCTCATCCTCTCCCTCCCTTAAGATAATTTCAACAAATTCCATTGTATTTTTCCATACAAATATATAAAATACTTCAGTCATTTTCACCCTTCTTCACCAAATGTTGGTGACAAATATTTTTGACATCTTGACAGCATAGCCTAAGTAAATATTGGTGTTTGATGTAATTATACTGGAGTGGAACATAAAGTAAAAAACATTTAGCACACATTTCACTCTTATTTTTTTCTATAAAAATATAACTCTTTATTAAATAACATGCACAAATATCAACTAGTTACTTATTAAACAGATATGATTTGGAACAAGATTTAAAGAAATACAAACCCTTAGGTACAATTTAGCATCTTGTTCATGATATCTGAGTAGTT